CGAAAGGAGTGGTAGGCGTCATGCCCATAGCAACCAGTGCCTGCTGCTGGGAGATTGAAGGTTGACCTTTCTGGTTGGCCCAGTTGCAACGGATAGCACGAGAACCGAGCCATTCACCATCCATTGAGTTGAGGGCCTTGTCTGCCTCTGCGCGGTCGCGGAAAGCAACGAAGCCGTATCCACGGGAGCGACCAGTCTTCATGTCCCACATCACACGTGCTTCGGATACTGAACCAAAAGCAGAGAATGCTTGAGTCAGGACTTCATCGTTGACTTCATTGCTCAAGTCGCCGACGAAGATATGGAAGTGGTTAGAAGTATCCTCCTTGCTGGTAGTGTTGGACTGGTACGCCCAGTTGACACGGATTTCCTGAGGCAATTAGATACAGCCACAGAATACCAGGAACGAAAGGAAACTTACCGATTGGTGGATTCTGCGACCATTCAGGGTTTGCATAGCCCTCTCGGCCGCACCTGGGTCATCGAACTCCACGAAACCGTAGTTGTGGCCCTTGGTGGTGAATTGCCCCTGGAATAAGTAAAACAGTCAGCAACCAATATTCCATCAAGGACTAGCAATGGTATCCCAGATAAGAGCTCCAGAGAGCATTTCCAACAACTCAGGGGGCGGATATGCAGGGGGGCTGTCTGTCAGGAGAACTCACATTCTTGTCGGGAATGATCTTCACGCTGACCACGTGGCCAGTGGTTTCAAAGATCTGCTTGAGGATGTCCTCAGTGACCCTCGGGTCTAGCCCACCCACATACAGGGCTCTCTTGTTTGGTTCAGGAGCCGCTCGGCGGACATATCCACCAGCGCTTGTGGGGGACATCATATCAACTCCGGACATGGGAGAGGTCATGGCGGTGGGAATCGGATTGGTATTCTGGGGAATTATCACCGGGGGACGCGGGGGCGGGGGCATATGGGACTGGTTGCCCTGGCCATTTCCCTGAGGAGCATCGTACTGTTGGGTTTGACCGACAGCGGGTTGAGGCGCGGGGGGGAGAGACGAGGGGGTCGAGGCTTGAGCGTTTTCAGCCATTATGATTGCTTTTGAAAAGATACGGATATATCCCAAAGACGATCAGAGGAAGCGAATGATGCGGAAGTCGGACGGGGTTAAATGTCAGACCGGGAGAGTCCAGCGTTATGATCTGTCAAATTCGGAATTTGAGACAATGCAGAGCGTCGCTGAAAGCCACTATCGCAAATAAGACCGGGAAAATATACGTGGTATAGGAGGCCGCGGGGGACCAGGATGGAAGTCCAATAAGAAAGATTCCTAAGATGAGGAAACAAAGAGCACCGGGTATAAACAGTGCTAGTAACAGAGACACCGAGATGGAACCTGAGTTGAGGGGGGGGGGATTTGTTTTTGGATTTTGGATTTTTTTTTTTCGATCCAGCTCCGGTAGAATAAGGGAGATGTTTCTGTGGCCTGATAAAGCTGCGGTCGGAGATTTGTTTGAAACGATACAAAGCGCGTTGGAAGGGTAGAAAGCCCAACAAAAAAGAGGCTGAGAAAGCTTAAAGAAAACCAAATGCAAGTCCCTTTACAGGGGAAAGCCAAACAAAGAAAAGAGAAAAAGGAAAAAGGGAACTGGAAAGAAGTTGAGGATACAGAAAGAAAAAAAAGGAACTGGAGAAGAGCAAAGGTAAAGGGAGGAAGTTAACCGCTAGGGGTGGGGGGAGGACACTTTACCCCAATGGGTTTAGCCTATTTACTCTCCGGTCTCCCCAAATTCTTAACTTCTCCCAAGTTCTTCCTTCAACTTATATATCGTCCGAGTTGGAAAACTACACTACTCGTCTTCACATTCCCATCTTCTAACCATGGCCAGCTATTCAACTAGTTACTCAAACCCGGAATCCCTTACGGAGCTCTCAAGCATAATAGAGCGGACGGTGAGCGCTGGCTCTGGAACATCACTCTTGGCATATAGCCTCTGACACCTTCTAGCTCATTGATACCGGTCGTTTGTTTCGCAAGTCTGGTTCCATGCCATCGCGAATCCACCTGCAACGATCCATTCCGTTGTATCATGATAGCTTCCAAAATGCCCTGGATAACCTATCAGAGCAAATTGTGAGTAAATATCAACAATCTCAAATATATTCTTTTTGCTTTTTTTTTTGTTGCTTTTTTCGGGTTTCCCTTTCCATTTCTGACCCTATGCAGTTCATCGCGAAAGCCTTTTTGGAAAGGGATTACGAGGCTCTCAAGGCCATTAGTGCCGCTCCTCAGCCCGTCGAAGATGTGACAATGAGCGATGTGAACCAACAGGTTGAACCTGACATTCAACCTCCCCCGATTGAGAAAGTCGAAATGGGCATAGAGCTTGAAACTATGCCTAAATCAGAAGAAGCCATCTCCGTGAGTCAATCAGCGGCAGAGATCAAGCCCGACACCCAATCAGGCGATGATGTAGTTGTCAAAAATGAGAGCGATAACAATGCTCCCCGTCAATCACCCCCTGGACCCAATGAAGATCTCAATTTTGATTCAGTCATCAACAACACTGGGGGCACAAACGAGTTTGGTCTTAGCTTAGACTTCAACGATGATGACATGGGCAATCAAGCTTTCCTATCCGGGTCAAATTTCACAGCCTCCGGCGCTGCTGCTGGTGCGGACAGGTTAAGCACGACTCAACCTCTGGGGAATACTTCGGATGTCCCTGCTAGTGGTGGTGCATTTGATATGGAGTTACAGAAGACAGAAGGGGATGACGGCAATTTTCTACAGGGTAACTCCGGGGAGGATTTCATGGGGCCCGCTGAATCAAACTTCGACGATTTGTTCATGGACACTGATAATTTTGGAGAGAATAATGGGGACTTCAATCAGCTGGAAGGGAATAGCCTGATGAACGCATGTAATGAGCTGGATGATAATTGGTTCAACTGATGAAAATGAGGGGCACACTATTGGGATCTATACAGTCTGGATAAGAGCAACGGCTAGTGAGGGGAAATTGGAGGAGTTGGGGGAGTTGGGGGAAGGGGAAAAGGTATCCTATGAGCTAGCTGCATGCGTTCGCGTTTGGCACTAGTGGTACTAAGCATAAATCTAATGGCATATGCCCTGATTCTGTGACTGGAAGCATTGATTATTATGAACTAGGTACATGGATCTGTTGTTACTCAGGTCCAAGGCTCCCCCTGACTGGGTAGCTGCTGTGGAACATCAATGATACATACGGCATTTATCAGCTAATAGCTCTTAGAAGTATGGTTCAATGGAGAATCAATGTCTTTTGACCTTTTTTAAAAATAAGGAAAGTTTTGACACCTCCAAAGAAGATAGTGAAACCACCATGACCCAAGCCCACAGCTCCTAGACAGCCTCCACCGAACGCATGAACCCTTCCAGTGGTGACACAGAGCTTGTTGTGCGACAGGACATTTGAATTGGGGCCGTGTTTCCCTGTACCTGATTTTGGTTCTAGGAAAATACGTGCTTACAACATAGTTGTGGGAAGAGATCCCTAGGCCACTAAATATACTATGTAGTCTATACGTCTAGTGACGTAGTTCAAGATCGACGCGGCTCGTGGGGAAGTAAATCAGGGCAGAGAAGTCCACAGGGCGATCACCCCAGAGAGAACGAAGGCACTAGGATTTGCTTCCCGAAATAGATCTGCTCTATACGATTATGTATGTACGGAGTAGAGTCTAGGCATAAGGTGGCTGATGAGGTCATTATCGTAAGATGGACATGTCGTCACGCCAGTAGTATTTAGTATAATAGTCTGATGTGCCCACGATGTACAGCACATAGGTGATGGTGACGAACTAGAACTGATCACCATCTTTATCGGGGTCTATCTTCCGACCATTCACATTCCACCTAAGCCCTAAGCTGTGTAAGCCGTGCAGTGAACCTTGAAAATCAGGCCCTGAACGAGTTACTGTAATTAGGTAGTTAGCTTCGGAGTAACTAGCCATGTATGGAAATCATCAGTAAGTCATGCGGAGGATCGATATACGAGGATTTAAGAAATGCAAAGGTCTAGGGTTAATATCACATTTGTTACGGTTTTAAAACCCATGGGATCTGGTGCAAAGTCCTAAACGTATCAAATAAAGTCATACAAAGAGTAATTAAAGAGTAATTAAAGAGTAATTAAAGAGTAATCAAGAGCGCAATTAAAGATGCAGTCTTTAGGTTGTTATGTAGATCAACAAGGCCAAGATATCCAAGAGCTGGGCGCTAGCACTGTCCTATGCCGCGAATCCGTGAAGCCGTTTGTATAGGCCGTGAGATCCGAGGCATTTATAACTCTAGACCCCAATGGAATGTTTCTCCACAAATATTGACAGAAATGCCGAGCAAAATCCGTAAACCGTAGATGGTAGAGACGTATGGCCCGGATCGCCGGATATGAGACCAGGCTCCGTCTCTCCCCCCGGCTTTCTCAATGGTGTTGTCATCGAGTTCGGATTTATGCTGCTTCTCTGGCACCTTATATTTTGCTTTTCAGGTTCTTCTTTTCTCTTCCGTGGATCAGGGTTCTTTTTAGTTTAAGTAGTTCGCCTTTCTAACTATATTCACGGACCTTTTCAATCACATACGACGCCACATACGCCTTGTGAGCGGAGTCATAGAGATCAAGGAAAAAGGGAAAAGGGAAAAGGAGCCACAATTCCGCACTATAACAGCCAATCCTACACGTCGAAATAGAGATCTGCACGATGATCAGAGTGGAGGATTGCTTATGAAGTCAGCACCCCCGAGAATTCCATCCTCCTACAAAGATCAGTCTCCTTGCGTGAAAGGATTCAAGGGACCAAAAAAAAAAGAAAACATCGTCTCACAAGATTAAAGATACAAGGTATGTTGAATCTGTCTAACACATTCCCTGCATTTTTGTATTCCCTTTCTTGTTGGAAGACCAGGCTTGTGTTTTGCCCAATTTGGCGACATAAGCGTATCCAAGGGATATACGTACAATTTTGGGAATTATTCGGCGATGCTCAGCAGACAAATAACATCATGATGGGTGCTAATATCCTTCCTCTGCCAGCGCAGTTATCTTCTCGGTCGGCTTCTAGCAACCCCACTCGGCCCTCGGAATTCACAGGAACTCCATCGCTAGGAGTATCAATTTCCAATCTCATCACTCGCTCGCCTCGTCGCCACACGGTTTGTATTGAAAATCAGATCCCTAAACGGAGTCATCGGGACTCAATCTTCAAAAAGCTGGCGCGCCCACGTGAGAACGCAAAGCGATTCCTTCGCTTGCGGTCGTCTGGAGTTCAGGCGCCTTTGCAACGTCTTAGTGTACGACCAGTTTCAGAGATTATATTGTCGCCGATATCAGTCGACTTGGAGGACGAGATGCGATCGGATTCATCGTCTACCGAGGTGCTGCCTCGCCCAGTACATGAACCCCATACCGTGAATACCGATTCTACCACCCCGTTCACTCCCTTGCGAAATGAGAAGATTGTAGCCACTGGGAGTGGCATTTCTGTCGGGATCGCCCTCACAGAACCCGTTCTTTTCTTGCAGGGTTATGATCAGCAAGACCCAAGCAGTAAAAAGTCTGCAATTCTGCGGGGGCAAATGCATTTGAAGATTACCAAATGTGTCAAGATCAAGAAGATCTCGATCTGCTTCCGTGGCCATGCCCAAACCGATTGGCCAGATGGTGAGAATCTACAGCATCAAATTGTACCTGAACATGAGCTAACATTGTTCAGGTATTCCTCCTAGGAAGATCCACTTCCATGATAAGAAAGATCTCGTCACACATGGTGTGGTCTATTTCAATCACGGTGACACCGCGCTCATGCAGAATGACTATGGCGCACATTACTATCAGCATGCCAAACCGGTGTCGTCCGTACCAGGCAAGGAGGGAGTGACGATGACAACTCGAGAACTACATATATTCTCCAATCGCAATTCTACCGCCTCACTCGCCCTACCAACATCTCGCGAAGTCAAACGTCTTTCTCTACAAGCCAACCACGGACATTCGCGCAGCTTCAGCAAGAACGAACCTCCGACTTCGCAACCCCAGCCACAGCGAAATTACCGCATGTTCCCCGTAGGCGATTATTTATACAGCTTCGAGTTTCCAATCGACGGATCATTGCCAGAGACAATCAAAACGGATCTGGGCTCTGTGAGATACGACCTAGAAGCAATGGTGGAACGATCAGGCGCATTCCGACCCAATCTCCTCGGTACCATGGAAATCCCCGTGATCCGTACCCCTGCCGAGGGTTCATTGGAGCAAGTCGAGCCGATTGCGATTTCGCGGAACTGGGAAGACCAACTTCACTACGACATCGTCATCTCGGGGAAGTCCTTCCCGCTGGGCTCACAGATCCCAATTGCGTTCAAGTTAACTCCGCTAGCGAAAGTAGAGTGCCACCGAATCAAGGTCTTTGTGACGGAGAATATCCAGCACTGGACAGCAGACAAGAGCGTGCACCGGTTGCAACCAGCGAAGAAGGTGTTGCTCTTCGAAAAACGAGCAGACTCGTCTAGTGTCAGCACGTATCCTGGCAGCTCCATGCGTGTCACTGCAGGCGGCGGTATCGACTGGGACCACCGCGCTGCTGCTGCAAGGGGGGATGAGGTTGTGGATCGGAATCGGACGAATCTGCTAGGCAATCTGTCCAATGATTCTGGTGTCGGTCCAACTGAGATGGAATTCAACGTGCAATTGCCAAGTTGCCATGAAATGAAGGGCAGGGACGAGGGTCAGCGGCTGCATTTCGATACCACATACGAGAATATTCAGATCAACCACTGGATCAAAGTATGTCAAGTCTTTCCTCTTTCTTCGGGTATAGTGATACTAACCGATCCATGCAGATTGTCCTCCGTCTTTCGAAGATCGACGAAAGAGACCCCACCAAACGAAGACATTTCGAAATCTCCATAGACTCGCCATTCCACATCCTCTCCTGCAAGGCCACCCAGGCCAACATCTACCTACCAGCCTACACAACCCCAGCCGAAGTACCCGTTTCCCCAGCCCAAGAATTCGAATGCGGATGCCCCGGCGCACCTCCCGCACCTCGAGAGCAAGTCATCGCCCCAGCGACATCATCCGATCGTGAAGACAGCCGCCCCACACCAGGAACCATCGTTCGCCGCGGCTCAACAGGCCACAACTTCTCCCGCAGCTTCACCAACGACTCTGGCGGTCTCGCCCGGCCTCCACAAGCACATCTTGCAACACCACCAAACGACCGCAACACACCTACCCTACCTCGCCCAATGCATCTGCTCCGTGCGCCGTCCTACGCACCCCCGCTTTCGAGGACGTCCCTCCCGCGCCACCGCTTGTCACCCCACCTCCAGAATATGATACCATTGTCGGGGACGACCGGGAGGCCGTTCTCGAGGATTATTTCTCCCGTTTATCGTTCTATGAAGAGCATGAAGACGATGACCGCGGTCGTGGCCGCGTCGATGTACCCCTCACGCCAGGTGGACGCGTCAATCGCAGCATGGACGTTCCCCGCGAATGGGTGCGACTCGAAGACTATTTCCAGTAATACTGCTATTCTTAATTTTTTCTAAAAAAGAAAGAAAGTTGTCACGAGGTCTGAATCATGAATTTACGCTAATGTTCATATTGGGATTGGTGTCAGGCACATGTTTTCCAGCTATGCTATCTATTCTTCAGATCTGAGTTTTGGCTCTTCTTCTTCTCTTCTCTTCTCTTCTCTGGGTTATATTTGGATTTATTTTCTTTCCATTTAATAGCACTTTGTTTATGATTCATGTATGAACGGCTATACTTTTTGGCTGGTGTTGATACTGGACTTTCATTCCCCGAGGTTGATCGGGGACAAAAGGCGAAATGGGTCATTTAGTCAGATACCTTATATGGATACATGTGATAAACTGAATAATGATCTTAAGTATCAAACCTATCAAACCTTTCCAGGAAATCCGAACTCTCATAAAAACTGGCACTGGAGCCCTTCAGGGCTGGAGATAAGAACTGATGTGTCAGCGATAAGGCGCATCCAACTCTCTCCACATTCCCGAGGTTGTCTGGTTCCCCGACTGTCACGACTTGCTTTTTCTTTGTCTCCTTCAATTATCTCTTCCGATTTGCCTAAATTGTGGTCATCTACCCGCCATACAGAGTTCCCAAGCCGCCATTATGGCTCTTGAAGTCTTGCCTCTTACCGAGACTGATATCCCCGGTGTTATTGAGATAATCCAGCAGGCATTTGCAGACGACCCTTATTTCAAGTGGGCCTTCGATTCATCCAAGGTACGTTGCGCGTTGAGAATCGCTACCAAAAGCAAAAGAAGAAAGACATATATCCACTTCTAATTATCAGACTAACATACATCTCTCTCGTGACGCGGTCAACTTGGCCGGCAGTTACGTCTCCTGAGAGTTAACTCCACGTATAGTTCAACAAGCAAAGAAACCACGATTCCCTCGCAGCACGCTGCCATTGGGGAATCAAGAATGCACTCTTCTACGTTGCAAAAGAAACCCAAGAGGCCGACTCCAAATCCCACAGCTCCACACTAACCCCAGCCCCAATCCTCGGGGTCTCTTGCTGGCTAGCGCCCCACCCTGCCGCGCAACCAGAGAGCTGGTACTCCTGGTTCCAATCATGGGCTCTATCCTTCAGTCAGATGCTCAACAATATCCGGTACTTTGGCCGCGGCGGGCTGCGCACGAACAGGTACTGGATCTGGAAACAGCGGCAGGCCGAGGCGCAGGCTTCTATCTGGGATGATCCGCGCGGGTACTATTTCTGTAATATTGTCGCTGTTAGTCCTAAGGCGCAGGGGATGGGTATCGGGAGATTGTTGTTTGAGGCTGTTACGAAACGGGCGGATGAGGAGGGAATCAAGTGTTACCTCGAGAGCTCGAAGAATGTGCCTAATGTGGCGATCTATAAGCGTATGGGCTTTCACATGAGTAAGGAGATGGAGTGTCGGGATGGGGTGGATGCTTGCATGGTATGTACATTGTACTTGTTTGGTAGTGTTTGCTTGTGGGGCTCGTATTTGTTTGGGTTGTTGCTGACTTTGATTGTTGGTAGTTGTACTGCATGGTCCGGGATCCGAGGACGGAGTGATTCTGTTGCCTTTGCTTTTGCTTTTGCTTCTATGACTCGGCTTGCATGCTTAGGTCATATTACGATTTCGGTCCATGGCCAAATTCGAAGTATGTCATAGACCGGTCCGCAATGACATTCGAAGAATATGGACACATATCCTCCAATTTGATGGTTTAATCTGCCCTGGTAATCTTAACTCCGGCCCCGTTATAAACCAGCCCTAACGATCCGACCCACCCATCTCTCAATCCACAAACGGGGCAAGATAGCTCGAACCTAATCGAATCTAATATTTGTGGCAATGTGGTGCCATAGTGATCTACGGGATACACATCCACACTAATCCATCCGTTTGCCACACTCCAATTCGGGGAATGATCCATCAACTCTTCAGTTGAGTCTTTCCGTACGGTAGGATGCTTGCATGTTGATCTGTTTATATTGATGCACCTAAACGAGAGGGGCAGTACTAGTCTCCGAATCCACATTTTAAGCTCATCCAGTCATATTCATGAAGTCCTAACGGCCTAGTCTTCCGGAAAATATCTGATCATCCCGGATTCTGGGTGGTGTTTCAGATCCAGTCTGGTTTGTATTGCACCGACTGCTCGGAGTCTTGCTCGTTGAATCCCTTCATTGTATCAAGGCTCGTGCGTTGACCGAGGACATATATTTGAGGTTTAGAAGGGAACCCTAGATTTTGAACATTGGATCTTCAGTTAAAGATTTGAAGACGACGATTTTGGATAACTGATAAATTCAATCTTGATTACTCGCTTGAACTGTGCGTAATCCGAGGACATACCTAGACAATGGACAAGCTGACTTTCCTTCTTTAGTGGTTGCTTTAATCGTTACCATGTTTCTCCTTCTGCTAAGAAACCTATGGACCCGACGACGAAGATCAGACACGAACAAATCTTCCACTTCCCCAACTACGTCCCAAGAGCTCAAATTCCAAGATAAAGAACCTCATCGAACTGGGATAATCATGACTACAACACGACACCACGACGAAGCAGACCAAATCATCAATCAACTAGCTGCTCTTGCAGCTACCGTGAGCAACACATCGAGCAATAGCGCCCTATCATCAGTGGCTGCCGCCATAGCAGAGCCCCGATCAGCAGCACGCGAACTTAAGCTGGAACAACCAGAAGAAGAAGAGGAGGAGGAGGAGGAGGAGGAAGAGGAAGAGGAAGAATCATTCTACCATCTTCGGAGTCTGATAACAGTCTCCTGCTTGCCACAGCATACGCCAGGCCATACATCAACACCCTCAGCCTCGACACTAGGCTCTAAATCAGGAATCTTTGATCGGAAGAGAGCCTCGTCGATTCTGAGTCTACACTTTGGCGATCTCCCAAGTTTGCCATTTTCCTCGAAAGGAAAACTCCCGTGCAAGCCTTGCGTGAGATATACTCCTCTTCCTCCGCCATATGTGCACAAGAGACTTGTTATTCGGCCTGAGGTGCGTTTCTAGGGGCTCGGGATTGGGCTCGGGATTGGGTGAAAAGTGGTTTGATTGGGCTGTTCTGCATGCTGTTTGGGATTTTGTTGTATTGTGCTCTTGTTATATGCGGTGGGATATTGCCTACCATCTCAGCAAAGAAACGAGATGTTTTAGCTAGTTTGGGTTGGTAGAAATGCCTGGATTCGTCCCCACTGCCGACAAATCACTTTGCTCTGGTATTCATGATCTAGCTCAGGCACAACCCGGTATGTAACCGGTTGTGGCTTCAGGAGCCAACCTTAAAACTCGACTTGCACACGAACAGTTGTTAGTGCCGTCATTTTTTGGCTATTTTGTGTCTGTTATTAAATCTGGCCACGTTTCTTGGGTTGCCGAAGTTGATATTACGCCTAACAAGGCTCAGATCTCTCGTCCATAGTGTAAAATGTGAAGTCGCACGTGGTGCGTGGATTATGACCGGGGACATACATAGGCTGGAGAAGTGGGCTTTTTGGAAATCAATCACCAATTGTTACTCAATTGATTCTTCGAGGACATCCTCTCGTTGGATTCGCATGCCAAGTACACGAGCTAGTCTAATTGAATAGAACAACACGGTCATAGAAGGGAACCATACAACATACAAATAAAATCAAGAAAATATCAGCAACCCCCACCGGAGGAAATAATATTAGTGTTTTATTAGGGGAAAAAGCGTTTCAATTAAAAATATTCAGCGATAAACGAATCGCATGGTTTCCAGCCCAACTTAGTTCGTCGCTCCTGTATCCGGCAAGAACAAATAAAGCAAGAACAAGGGTGTGCGACCTATTTTAATATTATGTTTTGGAGATTGATATTCGCCCGAGTCGACGGTTTTTCTAGAGGCTAATGAGCCATACAGGTCTAGATGCGCAATTTCCCTCCCCCCAAAGGATGAGACCCCTGTCGGTAGCTCAATCGTGGAAATAATAGACATGTCGCGTATCACAATCATGGCTATCATCTCCCCGTGGTTATTTGCGCCGCGGTTGTTGAACTATTAAGCTATGGTAATCAATTGGTGTTTCATATTCATGAACATGTGAAAAAGCAAGCCACGTTAGCCTAGCAGAAAGGCGTTGAGCATAACGTTCTAGACATTGGTCTTTTCAGGGACCGTGTACATCATGCCTTTAATTTGCAATTAGGGATAGAGCCGTAATATAAATTATAGGCTCGGCGAATAAAAAAACCTGACAAAAAAAGGAATCAATATGAAGTAGATTGTATACAAACCACCTTGACCTTGATCCATAGATCATTATCCGTGCCACTTACCCGATTCAGCCGTCGGCATAGTTCCTAACTATAATCTTCAGGGGTGGCATAACAAATAACAAGATTTGGCTTTCTGTGAGTGTATAAATAACGTTGTACTCCTCCCTATATACGCAGTGATATTGGTATCACAGCTCATAACTGCACGGACGGCACACAAGCTCATTCACCGCCGACGCCTTAGCTATTTTCTGTGTTAATTGACGGAAGCCAAGCAAAGAGTTAATACATATTGTATGTATGGATTACAGGACAACGCAGTGGCCTAGCAGAACACAGTCCAGATAGAGGAACCCGCAGTCTTAGCGTGGAAGAGAGAAAAAAAAAAAGCCAACGGAAACTCTAATAGTCGGTTCATTTCCGGAAAATCTCGAACTAGCGCTGATAGGAAAGAGAATTTGGGAAATATGCACGTGTGAAACAGACTGAGCACATTTTCACCTGAGCAGATTCCAGGGCTTTCTCGATGAATTCAATTGTGCTACGGAGTACGGAGTACTACTCCGTATATTTACTCCGTAGTTCGACCAGGAAATTACTCCGTGGGGTTCCAAATAATTGCAATAGACGGTCCATGGATACATCCTAGTTTCACTCCACTGATTCAGCTACACCACCCGTGGACGGACGCGTGGACCGCCGGTCCCCCCCAAGGCTGTTTCGGAAGGGCATCTATCAGCCGTGGATC